GAACGCAGGCACCTATGATCAAAGACAGCTAATCTTTTCATGTCTCCCACTCTCAGTGGCCAGGTCTCACAACCATAAAGGAAGACGGAGCGGACTGATGAGCAGTACACCCGCCCTTTGGTCGATAGTCGGATGTCACGTCTACGCCAGAGGCGGCATAAACTGGCATATGCGAAACTAGCCCTCTGTATCCGTCCTGAGATTTCGTCAGAGATCAACCCGTTGGGGCTGATAGTACTTCCCAAATAAGTGGAGCGGTCAACGTGCTCTACCACTTCACTTCCTATTTTTAAACTAGGCGTCGATGAAGTCCAGTCCTGTAACATCATCTTGCATTTGGCGGGAGCGAATCGCATGTCAAACATTCGTAGATTTCGGCTCAAGGTGTTTAGAAGACTCTGCATTTCGTCGGCGTCTTCGCCTAGAAGGACTATATCATCTGCATATTCCAAGTCAACGAGATTATCCCCTCCCTGGTAGCAAGTCAATCCCTGAGTCGCTGAAGTGAGTTAGGGTTAAGTCCATCAGTACATCTATGATAAAGTTGAATAGAAATGAGGATAATGGGCATCCTTGACGGACACCACTAGTCGTCACCACTTCAGATGACAACTTGCCATAAGCCCTGGCTTCATGAGTTCGAGTAGAGTGAGTGCCTTAATCAGTGCAATATGAAGATGTGAGTAATCAAATGCAAATCAAACTACAGCGAACAAGAAGCCTATCCTCAGACAACTCTATTTGAAAGGTGGTAATATTCCGTGAATAGTCAAGAGAAGATTGAATACTTAATTTGTCACAAAATACACTGTAACAGAGAGTTGGTTCTCGTTTATCGAACAGCTTGCTATTCTGAGTAGTCAAAGACCAACAGGTCTAATTGTGTACACAAATTCCCATGTGCCTTCAGCAACACTTACATTGAAATAATTGTGCACCTCAGATTCTCTGAACACGTACAGAAAAGTTTACGTCTCATGCGGATAAATGGTTTCAACGGATTTACTGCCAGACGTTAATTTGATATGGGTTATGAAACTGATATCTTGAAATCCCTTGAGATTATCAAGAGACAGTACGATTCAGTTCTTCTCAATTTTACCTAAGTAATTGCTACCAAACGTTTAAAAAACCCCATTTATGTGATCAGAAAGAGAGTTATAGGTCTTTCCTCCTTTTCTGTTACGTAATCTAACTTTATCCTCCGACATTTTGCTTATATTGTAGTTTCTATTATATAAGTCGAACTCGCCACTTACAAGTTACTTGTCATCTCCATATCCACCTTCTGTCTTTATTACCCATCTCCTTTGCCATTTCATCCAAACACATTGTTTTTCGATTTTGTTTCGTTTACAGCTGAACATTTTGTATATAAGTTAAATAAATGTAATACCTGAGCAGCATTTATTAATTTTGGAGTCTGCTATTAATTGATATCATGTCACCTTTGCAAGTAAGTTAGAGCTGCCATGTAAATGAACTTGATCAATTTTTTCAGATTGTACACAGGTGATGAGAAGCTGACGGAATAAACGATTGTACCATTTCACTCAACACAAACCATTAATTTCGGCTTACTCTGAATGATAGGGATTGCGCAAATCCTCACCAAAATGAACGATTTTCAGCGATATTGTTGTTTTCAAACGCTAACCTTTAGGTGTGCTTCAGCCGTTCACTGGTAGAATGCTCGTCAACGAAGCATATGACCCAGGTTCGATTCCCGATTCAAACACATCTAAACCTCACCTAATTTACAAACCGATAGTAGGCCAGGAAACGAGGGGAAGTTAGGCATGAGACTACCGAACTCGCTAGGGGAAGTTCAAAAGCTGAAAGCCGTTACGCTCCACTTAGAACACAAAGAATGAAGACGAAAACTGATCCTTAGTATATCATGCATATAAACTACTTAGATGAGACATTTTTGAACAGCTTACAGCTGCAGATAACAACTTATCCTATTCAGGTTATCTTCAGTCCTCTAAGTTAACAGAAAGACGAAATGTACAACACGAAATAGGAGTAAATAAATTTTTCCATAGTCCTACACTCATTTATATTGTTTATTGTACAATTAAAATCTGTTGTCATTTGCCTTTATTCATTAGCATCATTGATACTCCATAGTATGCGCCACGTTTCTTATAACTTCATAACAGTACATCTGGTCATATGGTCTGGTTAGGCAGCGTGAAAGGATAGATAACGACAGCGCCATCCTCGAACATCTTGTTAACTACGGACATCTGCCACCCTTGCAATAACTTCTCCACAGTGCTACACAGAATTTCCTAATATTGTGGTGAGAGCTCTCTGTTAGCCAAAATTAGTAGACAGCAATTTACGTCCCAAATCGAGGTCATTAGAGAAACACAAGAAAAAAAGGCTAACCGAACAACCAATAACAGCAGACTAAACGTGGGCGGATGCGATTAGCAGATATATCACCAGACTGTCTAAGAAACGACAACAAAAAGATGACAGAATAGCATTCAGCAGGAAAACAACCAATCAGAAGACGTTGCCTTTCTGCTAACAATAACGCTAATAATAACGTACACAAAAATCTATAAATATCTGTTGATTTCCTGAATAAACGATCTGTTGCCTGGCCCTTGTCTTCTGTCGTTACAATATCACATGAAGGAATTTGGAATACGCCAATTTATTAGACATTCGGAGCCTGAAACCAAATTTCCGCACTCGAAACCACTGCATACGCTCACTCACCTTACCGTGGCACAAGTAACACTCTCCTGAATTACCGTTCACATTACGTAATACATCTTCTAGAACACGGTTATCAAAATTTGATGGATTATAAGAATTCTTTGTAGAATATATAAATGCAATTGTACAGTTCTTGAAAATGATTCTCTTTTGTTTATGATTCAATTCAATAAGCAACAGGCACACTTTGTTTTTCTATGATAAACTATATATAGCACGAATTGGCAGAAGTTGGAACTCATTATTGATTGAATCAGGTCCCAGTGGCTGAATGTTCTACAAGCTTGATTTGTAACCGATAGGTCCTGGGATGCGTACTGTTAAAACTGGGAAAACAAACAGCTGTCCAGTACTCCCAAGATATTTCAACACCTCTCTGATGTTAACTAGTGAGATAAAACTCATAACCAATCAAATCTCTGCAAATCAATACTTGGTAAAACTATATTTTGTTAATAGAAAACATTAGAATATCAATAATTATATTTCTTTTACTTCAATTGTATACATCACTGGGATGCAGAAATAGACAAGAAATTCCATAAACAGCACTAGTGCAAAGATGATTGAGCAATCCTGCCTGATACTGCATCCTGTAAATTGTACCAATAAGCCACCTGTATTTTATGTTGCTGAGATCCATTGCATGAGTGTCCGAACTTCAATATTACAGTTAAGCAGTTGAATACTGCAAATAATACAGGTCGCGTGTAATAATAAAAATGATTTACTTTATTCCAAAAACAGTACTTGTGATACAGAATGGAATTTTCAGCATTAATCACAATATTGCATCTAATTTCCTCAAATTATAAATAAAATTAATCACACAGAAAATTTTCCACATTTACAATAGGGATAGTGTCAGAAACATGCAGCATATAAAATGGAAATAATAATAATGATAACAGCTAGGGTAATAATAATAATACAAGTGAAAATTGGCAATGTGGTATAGAAATCCTAACATGTTTAAAAATATTGAATATAATGTTCTGTTTACATGATAGGGTGAAGGGAAAAACAAAGATTACAGCAGTCATGGAGATAAGTTGGTGTTTGCAATTATGAAAGTAAAACAAACAAAGAAGTAACAAGACCGTAAGTATAATCGAAATAATAAAAGTAAAACTTGAAGGTACATAAGGATGGATGGAGGAAATTGTTTATTTACTAGATGAAAAAAGGTTAGTTAATTATTTCCTGACACTATTTTCATGACATAAAATACGTGCCAAGTATGGTATCATAGAATTTCTATACTTAGACGTGCGAGCATACAGTTTTCTGAAGTTACTTCTTGTTCTACCTGAGGAGAGGCAAGGTGAAAGCTGGGGGTGAAGCGGATGCGCCAAGTCAGACAAAATCCCTCTAGCAAATTTATTGCACAAAGTCAAGTGCCTATCGACAACGATGTTAACTATGTGGTCCACTGGGACACCACTCACCCTACTGACAGTCTTCAGCATTCTACGAATTGTGACACAGTTCTTTTTAAGCAAACCAGGAAAGAATAAACAGGGGTGAACAATAAAGAAGAATAGGTAGGATGCAAGAGTTTATAAACTGTAAGAGTAGGGGTTGAGTTATACCCGAGTGCCTAAACTTCTTAATGTAAAATGTCAGGCGGAATATTTCACTGGAGATCGCTAAGACATGGGAAAATCAGGAGAGATCAGAAGAGAGAATAAGTCCAAGATACTTAATTTCTGATTTGATTCCTATATCATTGTCGTCAATTTTACAACTGTCATGAGAATCGATGACTTCTTTTAACTGTCGTTTACATCTTAAGCTGAAATTAACAGTATGACATTTAGAAGGATTCAGTTTAAGACCGTTATACTCAGACCATTTACCGACTCCCGATAGAAAGCTATTTATTTTAGTACAATCTAGCTGGGAGTTAACAGCCATTGAAACCGTTAATTCATCAGCGTACTTCACAAAGTTTATTTCATCAGAGTTAGGCAAGTCATGCAAGAAGAAAGAAAAAAGAAAAGGAGAAAGGACAGCGCCTTGAGGGACACCAGCTTCAGTAGGCAGTGAAGTGGAGGACTTCCCTTTATATACGGTGTACTGCTTTCTTTCTGAGAAATAAGAATGTAACCAGTTAACAGCCCAACATTCTGTTTGACTAGCAGTAAAACACCCTCTAGAACACGGTTGTCAAAGTTTGATCGATTTTAAGAGTTCTTTGTAATTGTGGTCAGTATCATAGCCAGTTTCAATAACTTTCACATTTTACAAACACCTTTCTTGAGCTAAGACATTCCAGATTCTGCAAGTGATTGTATAACAGATTCAGCCGTAGGTAAATTCAACTCATACATGAAACCATCATCATAAGGTGGATGAAAAGAAGGCAGTAGAACACGAGAGATAAATCGCTTACAAAGAAAAGTATACAACTGGAAAGATTCCTTCTTCTGAACAAAATCTGCATCACACTTATCAATAAGACCAAGAAATTTCACCCAGTTTAAAAATAAGCCAAAATCATGCGGATTACGATATAGTACACCTCGTTCTTTGAGTACACGTGCAAATTTAGCATTAATATGTCGATCAATACTTGTCTCTCCAGTACTAATCAGACGAGTATGCCAAGTACAAAGAGCACATACTAAGGGGATTGCAATAAAACCGAAATTAAAGCATGCTTTGAATAATTGATTGAAAAATTCCTTCCATGGTATATGCATAAATTTATTTGATTCACTCAGAGAGTGTTGTGCAGTCGCATTAACCTACAAGGTAGAAGAAGAAGACAAACAAACATACACATATCCAATTAGAAAAGCATTGACATGAATTCAAATGAACTGTCATCAAGATTTGACAGAATAGTTCTAAAATATTTGGGCGCCGAGTGAGTAGACATTTGTAAAAAAATTATATTTGTAAAATCTCAGGGAGATTGAAATCATTAATTCCAACGTTTCGTTCGGCAATCTGGTCCGAACTTCTTCAGGGAAATTAATCGAAATTAACATAACAGAGGTTTATACATAAAATTCTGAAAAAACGTCTGGTCATAAAAATCTAGATACTAGCAGTTTGAATAGATATGAAGGTGTGATGTTAGCTGATGCTTAGAAAATCCTGATTAATAAATAAAAATGGATATGTATCACTAATTAATAATACCCGGTCAAAATTCCTGACTGTCTATATCTTCTTATGGATACGTTAAGAAATGTTTTACAACTGTTTACCCATACACGCATGCACACTGTGTTTAAAGTGTTTAACAAAGGTAGACCAATATTTATAGGTCCGAGGTCAAATTTTGATGACAGCTCATACAATTTTGTTTATTATACTTGTTGACACTTGTTATATGAATCATGATTGAACAAAGTTTTTAAAAACAAGAAACGTTCATCTTATATATAAACCTCTGTTATGTTAATTTCTATTAATTTTCCTGGAGAAGTTCGGACCAGATTGCCGAACGAAACGTTGGAATTACTCATTTCAATCTTGCTGAGATTTTGCAAACATAATTTTTTACATTTACAAGAATGATCACAAAATAACTTCAGTTAGAAAACCATTGGATACCATGGAGTACCGGAGTACCCGACCGAAAGCTGCTACCTTGACGTGGTGGTCGGGCTTGAACACCGCAATGATCTATTCAAGCTATACTGGCTGAGACTTATGTCTCTTGAGGTCCTACCATGCCAGGCAGGTTGTTTGGATAGCGGTTAAACAAAAAGCAGCTACCCAATCCAACATCATGATAAATACAAAATCACAAAATTTCATGCCGGATCGGCCGTGGCCCGGATTAACAACGACCGCGCTTCCTGCTGCCGTGTCACAGGGCAGGAGTGATAAGTATGCTACTGAGGCACACCAAACAAAAAGAACAACCAAAAACAGGCCGCGTGTGACCGGCCTCAAGCAGTTGTCCCCTGGGCTCTGCGGTCACGCAACCAACTTCCACGGTGTGGGCAGCCGGGAAGTAACAATCGCCCTCACAATCCGAAACGCACGCGAAACCTCTCTATTACTCACTCATCTTTGTTTTCATCTTCATCTCTATCATCTTGCCTTCCTTCCACTGATGCAACTCCTCGACTTGATAGCTCTCCACTTCCTCTCCACTCTGCGTCCACTAAAAACGATGGAAGCCAAAAAACCACCACCGACAGCCTCTTAAAGCCGCGCCACCAATTTCATATAGGAGCTTTTAATGTTAGGACACTTTGCCAAATAGGACAACAAGCATCACTAGCCAAGACCCTGGTGTCCCGAGCCATTGATGTATGTTGTGTTTCAGAAACACGCATACAAGACCCAAGTGTGGTTATTCACCTAACCCCACCTGGCCAACAGGTTGAATCTGCAAAATTCACCTTGAGGGTGTCAGGAGATGCCACAGCTAGTTCACGAGGATTAGCTGGTGTAGGGATAGCTTTGAGTACTAGGGCAGAAAAGACATTGCTTGACTGGATCCCGGTAGATAGCCGAATGTGTGCTGTCCGTCTGAACGGATCAGTAAATAGGAAAAAGGACTGCACTACTCGCCGATGCCTTTTCGTAATCTCCGCCTACGCCCCCACTGACTGCAGTTCAGATGAAACGAAGGATGAGTTCTACCAAAAGCTGTCTAGTTTGGTGCGAAAGGCTAAACGCTCAGACATAGTCGTTCTAGCTGGTGACTTTAACGCTCAAGTAGGGAAATTGTGTCAATCTGAGAAGGATGTCGGTGGCACCTATGGAGTTCCGTGCCAGCGAACCGACAACGGTGACCGTCTCCTACAGTTCTGTTCTGATAATCATTTGTTTCTTGTAAGCACTAACTTCAAACACAAGGAGAGACACTGTTTGACTTGGAGACCCCCTTCATCAAACCAACGCTGGACACAAATAGACCACATAGCAATAAGCTATCGTTGGCGTGGGTCGGTAGGAGATTGTCGCTCCTTCTGGAACACGTGCGTAGATACCGACCATGCACTGGTCCGCGCTCGTGTGTGCTTACGACTGAACGGACGTAGGAAACAGCTGGCGGTAAAACCATCACGTCCCCAGCTCGATCAGGAAACTAAATCCGTATTTCAGGAAGAACTAGCTAAACACATATCTGTGTTCGACAGCTGTGCTCACCCTGAAGAAGCTTGGAAAAATATCCAGGCAGCCATAGATACAGCTGTAAAAGCTGTGAATAAGGTAAACCCAAAGGTGAGTAAAAACCACTGGATCTCCACCGCCTCATCCGAACTGATAGATGCTAGAAGACTTATTCCGGCGAGCTCCGAATTCAATGAGGAGCGAAAGCTGCACAAGAGGAAACTTACGAAAAGTCTCCGCAAGGACCGTGAACAGTGGTGGGCGACAAAAGCCAAAGAGATGGAGAAAGCTTCGAGGATAGGCAACACCAGGCAACTCTTTAGACTCATCAGGGAAACGGGTGGGAGAAGACAAATCATTAGTGAGACAATCTCGGAAAAAAATGGCACTATAATTAGCTCCCAGGATAGACGACTGGATCGTTGGAAAGAGCATTATGAGGAGCAGTTTAATTTGCCCACAGCCACGCTCAACCTTCCGAGCATCCAACACCTCCCTGAATGGGATATAGACACAGGTCCTCCGTCCCTAACTGAGGTTACTAAAGCTGTCACCAATCTGAAACTAGGCAAAGCAGCGGGACCTGATGGAATGACTCCAGAGGTATTTAAGTACGGTGGAGACAGCTTACTGTCCGGATTAACTGAGGTACTAGGCAGCGTCTGGGAATCAGAAGAAGTCCCATCGGGTTGGTGTAAGTCACTGATTATCCCCATATACAAGAAGGGAGACAAGTCTTCCTGTGATAATCACAGAGGGATTAGCTTGACTAATATAGTATCTAAAGTCTTAGGCTCAATAATCATGCGTAGACTGAGTGGTGCTCGGGAAGCACAAACACGAGAGAGCCAGGCAGGCTTTAGACCAGGAAGAGGGTGTATTGATCATATCTTCACCCTCCGACAGATTCTAGAACATAGGCATTCCTACCGGCGTCCAACAGTCATTATATTTCTTGACCTAAAGGCAGCATTCGACTCTGTCGATCGGGAAGTTCTCTGGAGATGCTTGGCTGTAAAGGGAATTCCGAGAAAATATATTGCACTGATTAAGGCACTCTACTCGTACTCATACAGCCAGGTGAGGGCTTACGGCGAGCTGTCATCTGAACTGATGACGACCAGTGGTGTCCGTCAAGGATGCCCATTATCCTCTTTTCTATTCAACTTCATCATAGATGTGTTAATGGACTTAACCCTAGGTGACTTCAGCGACTCAGGGATTGACTTGCTACCAGGGAATAATCTCGTTGACTTGGAATATGCAGACGATATAGTCCTTCTAGGCGAAGACGCTGACGAAATGCAGAGTCTTCTAAACACCTTGAGCCGCAATCTACGAATGTTTGGCATGCGATTCGCTCCCGCCAAATGCAAGATGATGTTACAGGACTGGACTACATCGACGCCTAGTTTAAAAATAGGAAGTGAAGTGGTAGAGCACGTTGACCGCTTCACTTATTTGGGAAGTACCATCAGCCTTTTCCAACGGGTTGATCTCTGACGAAATCTCAGCACGAATACAGAGGGCTCGTTTCGCATTTGTCAGTTTACGCCGACTCTGGCGTAGACGTGATATTCGACTATCGACCAAAGGGCGTGTGTACTGCTCATCAGTCCGCTCCGTCCTCCTTTATGGCTGTGAGACCTGGCCACTGAGAGTGGAAGACATGAAAAGATTAGCTGTCTTTGATCATAGGTGCCTGCGCTCTATTTCCCGTAAAAAGTGGCATAATAAGGTGAGCAACTTTGAGGTTAGGCGTCCAGTTCTAGGTAAACAGGGGAAATCAATCGACGAAGTCGTGGAGTTACAAAGACTGAGATGGTTAGGACATGTGTTACGTATGCCTAGTCATCGCCTTCCTCGACGGGCAATGTTAGCTGATTTAGGGTCAGGCTGGAAAAAAGCTAGCGGCGGTCAAACCAAAACATGGCATCAGTCAATGAAATCTACAACAGTTAGTCTAAGCCACGTAGGAAGGTGTAGACTTCCTGGTTGGGGTCCTCGTGACGGTAAAAACCAATGGTTGGAAACAATTGATGACATGGCTCAAAATCGTTCTCAATGGCTGGTGCAGATGCATCCACTCCTTGTGAGTTATGATTTCCAATAAAACTGTTTTGTTCTTCGTTACTTCTATTTCTTTGTCTCACACCTCTGTTTACTGTCTCTACTGTGCATTTCTTGTACTTTCTTCTGTTGCTTTGTGTGCTACATGGAGTGTGGCGACTTGAACTGCCTCACATATGTGCAAAGTTCTATGTCGAAAACAGACAGACAGACATGGAGTACCGGAGGGCTGTTTCGTCGCTATTCTGGACTCTTCAACGGTACGCACTCATGACTCCAGTGGGAATCAAACCCAGGACCGTCAGGTTACAAGGTGATCTTGTATGCCATAGAGCCAGTGGGACGGAATCCAATGACTGCAATCTCTAGTAGAATCATGGGTGAGTACTGCTAAACAGAGCAAAACAAAGACAAAACAGCTCTCCGGTACTCCCTAGTCTTCAGTAATTCTCTGATTGAAATCATTTCGTGACCAATCTTCAAATTATTCAGCCCCTTGCAAACCAACGTTTGGAAACAAACTGGTTTGTTGCCATTACAAACCACTACACGCTGAGCTAAACAAAGAAAGGCACAAATTAGTATGGAAATTATTTATATTAATAAGACATATAAGATAGTTTTCCCCTGACATCAACTTCATACAACATTTTGAACAGAAATGGTGATAAAAAGCCGTAATTTGGAAAACTAACAGATCCAGCTGCAACGGTAGAACACAAGAGGACATGGCAATGGAATTATTCATCGGCAACTCGATAAACACATATAGGCAGAATACGTCCACAGTTTGCACATGTCTCCGATATTGTGCTGCTTTATCTTTCTTCCATGGTGTCCATATCCATTTCTTCTCTTCGTCATTAAATCCACCTCTTCGCTATTCAAGGTACTTACAGATAATTTACATACTTATGTCTGTATCTACATGCTACTTATAAATCTTTTCAGTATTACACGCCACACAACCATTCAGTGTCGCGGGTGTAGACTAAATTGTTTAATCTCACAATATTATATATTTGATGTCTGTTTCACTGAGAAGAGAATGTAACAGTGGAATAGGGGTTTAAAACAAAGCATTGTAGTAGTCTACCTTTTATAATAATGCGCATACGAAATTCTCCAAGGTATATTGACATTCTTGAGATTGTATTAATCTCGATTGAAATACCAAACACAAATTCAGTGTTACATCCTGTTTTACACATAATTTTAGGTCTTGAAGACACATCGATTGAAACGCATGCTGCCCAAGCTGAGCTACAAGCTTTCTCGATGAGCAATGTTAGCTGAGTTGGGATTAAACTGGAAGAGTTAGAGGGTGGTCATATCAAAAATTTTCAGTTGCTTTGTTCCAGCTACATACAGAGGTGTAGACTGCCTGGTTGGGATTCGCCTGGTCTTAGAATCAATAGTTTGAGACTAAAAACCGTTCCCAATGGTCCAGATTCATTTATCCTTTGTTATCTCCCGTATCTATTCAAACCTAATGTTTTTCCCCTTGTTACTACTCTTCCTCCTGCACATTTCGAGTTTCTTTTTCGTTCTTTTCTCTAATTTTGTATGCTGCATAGATGCAGCAACTTGAACTGATGCACTTTTGTGTGAAATTCTGTGTTCCAACTCAGTCAATCAGTATCTTGTAATCAAGCACCGTAGTTTTCTTCTCAATATTAAAGGTTAGGCCATCTATTAGAAACTTCTATTCATTAGCGAACTACTGTACAGCAAAAATTTAATGATTCCACTAGTTCCGTATCTGGCCTTTCAATCCACATATCTTTTAATTTACGATGGAGCACTTTCAAACAGTTAAAATGTATTTTATTTAATTTTTATCATCCAACACCAAAATAGAGTTAACGGTCAAAAAATTAGTGTTTGTCACATACAATTTTGAACTGTCTGCGAACACAATAGATGAGATTTAGTCAAATAACACTAATTATTTGTTCGGTGGTGGTTAACAGTGGAGTCCAAGATGTGCGTTTCGTGGCTCAGTAATGCAGTGGATACTACTTTGGCGTCTCAATCGATGGGTGCAGGTTTGAACTGTAATTCCAGTACCACTGTGGTGAGAGTTATCTGCTAGCCGAAATTGGTAGACAGCAATTTATGTCAATGTTCACGTCCCAAATCGAGGTCATGAGAAAAAAACAAGAACAAAGACTAACCCAACAACCAATAACAGCAGGCTTAACGTGGGCGGATACGACTCGCAGATATATGGTCTGACCTTCAAACAAACGGCCACAAAGAGATGACAGAATAACTTTCAGCGAGAAAACAACTAATCAGAAGACTTGCTTCTCTGGTAACAATAACGCTATTAATAACGTATATAAAAATCTAGTAAACGATCTGTCGCCTGGCCCTTGTCTTCTGTCGTTACACCACCACTTGTCATCACTAGATGGCATGAACATCCAGCTGACAAATTTTAAATAAGGCGCAAAGTGCATCCTCAATTCTACTGATGGTCATGAGTGTAAAGTAACTTCGAGTTAGTAGTAATGGTGATATCTAGATGTCCGTTCAAGGAACCCATACACAGAAATTAGGTTGATGATCAACTCGCTCCAGGGTCTATTCCAAGCGTAAAATAATTCAAACCCCGGTGGGTGCGTATTGCTGAAGAGTCCCAAACTAGGACGAAACAGCTGTCCAGTACCCCAGGTTTTCCAATGGTTCTCCAACTAATGTCAGCTCATGATGAAATCCTCCATACAATCGAACAAAATCCCTACAAAAGCAATACTTGAAAATTAGTCTGATGCTCACTAGCGACGGGCCCTATTCAGGCAGTTAACCTGGGGTTCTAGTGGGAAGCCGTGACCAGTAGGGTACAGCAGGTCAAAAATGAGGCAGTAACTCATCGATAAAGACATTGCGAAATGGTCGCGCTGTGTCGTGAATTGGCAGAAGTTAGAATTCAAGAACCATTGGATAGGGTCCCAGTGGCTCAATGGTCTATGAGGTCTCTTGGCTTGTAACCAGGAGGGTCCTGGGTTCAAAACCCGGTGGGTGCATACTGATGAAGAGTCCCAAACTAGGACGAAACAGCTGTCCAGTACTCCCAGGTTTTCCAGTGGTTCTCTAACTGATGTCAGCTCATGATGAAATCCTCCATACAATTGTAAAATAATTGACATAAATAACAGTCACATTGTCAAAACTATTGAAATAGCATATTTAATCGATCATAAACACACACACAAACAAAACAATAAACAAAGCTTACTTGATGTTGTTTCTCTTCGGTTAGATAACTTTTAAAATCTGACCAACCGACAGTTAGTAAATATATTCCACCAATACTCATATATATTAATACTAAATAAAAATGACGATGAGTATATAAGCCAATACAATTAGCTGTCCATGGACAATGATGATCCATGCGTAGAATACACTTTTTGCATACAACACAATGATGCGCTCGCATAGGACGTGTAATAAAACAACGTGTACACACTGTATTATAAGAATGATTTAAATGATTTGATGGCAGAATATTTGGAACAGTACCAGGATTAATAAATATAGCGCATAAGTAATGAAAGTATACATTTATAATTAATAAATGACTGCATACGAAATGTAAAATAAGCCAAAAACCTTCACAATATGCGCTACACTTAAGTGAATTATATTCAAAATACACATAACATGAATAGAGGATAGAAAGACGTCGAGGTATCAGATAAATGTACAACAAGCTAATAATTAAGCATAAATAAGTTAAAACAAGCGCTACTAGAGTTCGACCGAAATTTTTCCGCCCACCAAGATATAAAGAAAAACAATTTAAAATTGGTTCTAATACAACAGTGGTATAGATGTTTGAAATTAATTCAAATAACCAAATAATACATCCAGTGATAATGGATGATTGATGAATAAATTTTCTATCCGGTTTAATTGTAAATAAATCTGGTGCATAGAAACGAATCAAAAGTTTTATAAGGTAAATATAATCCCTGAGGAAGCGCATTTTTTATAATGGGGAAGAAATCCTGAACAGAGGAAAAGAAAAGAAAATAAACTGTTACTAGATGTAAAACTGATATGTATCCACATGATGTGTGTTTTGTTTTTGACAGTCTGCTATATTTTGCTATGTGTATATGGATCGATATTCCACTATAGCTGACAATATGCTCTTGTCTGTCCACTAACTAAATAAACATGTATGACCTTGTTGTCACATGACATTACAACCAATCATGTTAAGACTGCCATCTATTGGTTCATGCGTATTAGCCATTTTCATATATACTTTAGTATTGGGCACTTTTATATATTCTTGTGTTTACACACTTGTTCGTACATTCGTACTATTCCACTCACAAACTTGTGTGACATTTATTTCCCTTGTCTGGAAAATACAAGTATCATCGTAAACCTGGTGGTCTTCTGATTTCCCTCTTTCCGCGTCAGGACTATTAACTACTCGACGAGTACATAACATAATTGGCGACGGGGAAAACTAGTATTAACCACTCAGCTACTACATAACAAAAACACACAGTGAGAATCATACAGCAGTGAACAGTGAGTCAGTCCGCCATAGGTTTAGGGATAATCCACAGTTGGCATCTACAACAGTGTATAGTACGGGGGATTCCTTGCCTTGGAACTACATAATATGACGAAGACAATCTTTGGACAGATCAAATCGGAAGACGTTTAAAATAATAAACCTCGTATTCCCTACATATGTAATTTGGTATGCTGCAACAGGCCTTTCGTATTCTAGCCCATGAGCCACACTCGTCTTTTGAGAGTTATCGATGCTACCCAGTTGTCCAGGCTGAAGTATAGTCAGAGCGAGATTCAAACCTATGGTCCCATTATTAAAGTCCAACGACTAGATAGATGAGCCACTGCGCCTGTCTAAATCGTCCCCAAACATTGAGAACAGCAGGGGTGATGATTATCTGATTCCTTTCGGTCCCGAAAAACTGAACCCAACCAACCATTTCAGCAAGACGACTATCACTCAACTCCATAGACAGAGTTGAATAGCCCACACTCGTCACCACTGAGGTCTTAAAAATATCGCTAACATCCCACACTTAGATAAATCATCACACCACACGATATGTATTCTGAAGCAAGTCATTAGAAAGGAGTAAACTAAAAAATTAGTGATAGTATCTTGATTAGTGTCGTCAGCACATACTCATTAAATAAACTTTCTCTGAATTGGCGATATATATATATATATATATATCCATTGTCTTCAAGTGTGAGTAGTGATCATTCATTTTTTATTTGTTAAATTCAAACATTAGATTTAGAAGTAGGAGTTTTACCGATTTAGTTATTTTGGAAAATTTTATGTCCAAAAAGTTAACATTGGAAAGATTATAAAACTGCAAGTACAGTTCAGATAAGATTATATGGTGAAATTAATTCCCTAATGCGAAGAAAACTCAACACAAACAAGCTGCTAATGAATGCCTAGAAAAATACTTAGTGTATCGTATATGTATGGAAGATAGTTAATTTTATGAGTCAAAGTAACATCAGAAATCTGAATATTTCATAAGAAATCGAAATGCCGAAAGTTAATCAATCTAAGAACAGCTCCAACGTGCAAGTATGTTGGATGAAATCGGTAAGTGAATATGTGCTATAAAATTTTCACCAATATACAGTTTGTCGTTTTATCCCTGACACAAATTCGTCCATTGTAGTTACATGAAACTTGTTTTCCCAAATTCTGTGTGCTTCGGATGAACGGAAACCTAAGCTAATTAGCATTTTAGCACCAAGATCACCGTTAATAAGTCAGTCACTCAGAAATTACAAATGAGGCTACACTGCGTGAAAACAGGATGGCCGAATAATACGACTGTCCCTCTATTTCAACATGTTCATGTGAACAGCCTTCTTACATCATAAATGACATCACCTACTTGATAATGCTCTGCTTCATGTTTCAAACAAAGCTCTGCCGTAACAGAAATCCGACAACACCCAGAGAAAAATAAACAACACTCAAGTGCGACTACGCGGCATTTTCCGGATATTAGGAAAAATGACAACAATTGCAGGAAAATGTCAGAACGAAGTGTATCGCAGTTCAACAAAATCTTTATGACGATTAGCGAACAACATATTGGACTCCAATATCACTAGTTTCCAATTAATGCATAAGAAAACATAACATTCATTTAAATTTACCTCCCCTAAAAAAACATGTAGCCTAGACTAAGTCTACTCAAGTTTGCTTCACCATCACCTCAATCAAATTGTTCAACTTGCAAGTGAGTTCCATGGTTCCATGTCTCATTTACCCCAGCTTAAGACCTACAACTCGGCGAATAGTTCACCAGCAAACTCAGTGAAATCTACTGGTTTGCTAATTTCACCGTAAATTCCATTACGGGTAAAATTTGTTCTGATAAAGTTTCACAGTGTTAAACAGTAATGTTTTCTGATGACGTTTTGAGTACAATTTATTGCTCACAATAATATCAAGGTACTCACACAACTTCCTAACTTCGTTTATATAATTCTATTATTTTTCATCGCTTGATTTGATTGGTATAATGTTTACTGATGACGTAATGAATTATACTCTACCACACTGCACAAATTTTATTCTTATTTCACCGTGGATGCCTATAATGAGGACATCAATTTTTTGGATAAACTATCCCGCATAAGATTGGTCAGAGTTGTTGATTTGAACTTTTGAAGGCGGATAGGCCATTGAAATTACCTCGTGGAAGCCTATAGTCACTTAATGGCAGGATGCTTTTATTTGGGTGGGCCTGGTCATTTAGGATCTTGTAGACGGTGATGAGGTCTCCCCTGTGCCTTCGGTAACTAAGTGTGAAAAGACCTAATTTCTTTAGTCTTTCCTCATATGATTTGTTGCGGAGGCCGATCACCCATTTTGTCGCTCGTCTCTGGACACTTTCTAGAATGTTAGCATCCCTTTTGAGTAGCGGAGGTGCAATGATATTATGCACCTCAAGGTGTGGCCTCACATATGCCTTATATAACCTTAAGAACAGTTCGGGAGTGAGAGCTCCCAGCTGCCTATGCATAAAGTGTAAAGTTGCGTAGGCTTTGGCGACGTCCCTCGAGTAATTTCTACTGGTGTCCAGCTTTTCTGTTAGAATAAGACCTAGGTCTCGCTCTGATTGAACACAACTCAAGTTCTGGCCACCAAGGGTGTAATCTACACTCTGTGACCTGCCCGAATGAAGTTGCACTACTTTGCACTTCTTTAGGTTGAAAGGCATTCCGTTAGCCAGAGCCCAGTTTCCCAGAGTTTGCAGGTCAGCCTGCAATCTATCTGAGTCTTCCGATGAGTTTATTGCTCTCCAAATCTTTACGTCGTCAGCGTAAAGAAGCGCAGAGCAGTTTAGTTGGGGGGGCAGGTCGTTGATAAAAATCAAAAACATCAACGGCCCTAGGATAGAACCCTGAGGAACCCCTGATGCCGAGGTGTGCCAGGATGATCGGATGCGGTTGACTTTGGTGCAGAATTCTCTCTTGCCTAAGTAATCTGTCAGCCATGCGAGAAGTGCTCCAGAAACACCCGCCTTGCTTATTTTGTGAAGGAGCAGACCATGGTGAACTGTGTCGAATGCTTTCGCAAAGTCGAGAAAGATCACGTGGGCTGGTACCTTTTTGTCCCAGGATAGTGTCCAATCGTTCCAAGCTAGTAGAAGATTCGTCACGCAGGATCTTCCCCTCCTGAAACCGTGCTGTGCTTCGTGAAGAAGGTTAGTCCCATCGAAGTATTTTCTCATGTGGTCGTCAATGAGACTTTCCAATATCTTCGATATCACTGGAAGTAGAGCAACTGGTCTGTAACTGGTCGCATTCTGCCGGTCACCACCCTTGAAGATAGGGGATAGGATTGCTCGTTTCCATTCACATGGAAGTTTCCCTACATCAAGGGAGTGTTGGAACAGATCACTTAGGGGTTGGCAGAGACTTTCTGAACACTGCTTCAGGACAGATGGTCTGATGTCATCACAACCTGAAGACTTTCCCGAAGCCAACCTTCCCAATTTTGCAAGTACCATAGCCGGGGTAATTTGAAATGTACCCAGCAGGTTTTCACGTGTTGGTTTTGCGATGTAATCTGGATGTTCTGTGGGGGTAATATCCTCGTTACTGTTTAGTTGCCTGTGAAAGGCTAGGCTGAATGTCTCTGCCATTTCAAGACTAGTAAGAGATTTCCCATCAGAACCCACTAGATTGCATGCTCCCTGGTTGGTCGGTTTTCTTTCGGACATAAACCTGTATAGGCTTTTGGGGTTCACGAGAAGCTTATTGGCGAGGTCTCCCTGAAATGTCCTTCTATCGCTCCGGACTCGTATGTTACATCGATTCCTGAGTTCAAGGTACACTTCATGTTCGGGTTGACTCTTCGATCGTCGCCACGCAAACCAGGCTTTTCGCTTCGCCTGCAGAAGGCGTTGTGTCCCCCTTTTTAGCCATGATCGTTGCTTCCTAGCTTTTGGTGTGACTAAAGGAACAGTGTCTGAGACCGCCTGGTGAATGATCTCCTTTACCACTCTCCAGTGTTCTTCTACTGTTAGCTCTGTCCATTTTTTAGGCCAATTTGCTTCAGACAGAAGTCTTCGCATTTTGGTGTAGTTGGCTTTGTTATAACACAGATAGGGCTGTGTATTGTCCCACTGTAAGCGCTCGCGGAGGACTATGTCGAATACTATGACCGCGTGGTCACTACTACCTATGGGAGTCGTGATCTGAACGTTTTCCACTAGTAGCTGGTCACTAGTGAGCACGTAATCCAGTCTAGAAGACTTCCCATCAGGGCCCCATCTAGTATCCATCTTGACATTTTCAGTGAATCCAGCCTTCCTGATGGTATGCAGCAGATTTCGATCAAATCTATCATGGGCTTTTCCCGACACCAAGTTAAGAGATGGGGCATTGAAGTCACCAGCTATGACAATTTGATCATAACCCATGTCTTGAGTTGCTGAGATTGTATTTAGCAGTACCTGGTTGTGGTCTGCTCCACATGAAGGTGATCGATAAATGCTGCCCACTAGATATTTGCAGTACCCAACGGTGAAGTGGCACCATATGGAGTCAGGGAGCTCTGTGAGGGGAGGGTCCATCGCGTGAACACATCTGAGCTGTTTGTCGACGTATATGGCGACTCCACCTCCTTCTTTCAGGTCCCTATCTCGCCTGACTAGGACCATATCATTTATACTGACTTCGCTGTCTGCCACCGTAGGGGTTAGCCAGGTTTCCGTCAGTATTATGATTTTGGAGTTCAGTTGTGATTGTAGGTGTCTAAGTTCAGCTATTTTGCCTCTTAGCCCTCTCACATTACTGTACAGGCAACTGGTAGTCAGTCTCACCACTTCCCCGTATTGGGGGGTAGTTGACTTGATATTGGCTATCGGTTGAGGAGTTATCCTACGAACTAGTTGGCCGATTCCCCAGGAACCGGCCTGTTGGCGTTTTTTTCTTCTAGTTCAGTCGGAGCACTCGGATGACACTGGCTATCATCGTCCGTGCTGCACCGCTGTAGTGTGACTAGGGGTTGAGGATTTTTTTTAACTACGCTTTGTTCTCTCCTTTGAGTGCGAGGCCGGCTCTCGCAGCAGCGAATGTGTTTGCTGACCTTGTCCTTGGTCTCGTACCATCTTTGGAGAGCGGTAGTCAACTGGTCTTGGGAGCTGAACTTGACAGCTAACAGACGTGGCGAGTTAATTGACATAAGATGAGTGGGTCGAGGCAGTCTATAAATAGAGACAGCCCCTGAACTCCCAGGGCCATCTGGGATGCCAACCATCTCCATTGTTGTACATCATGACAATGCTTTTCGCAGGCGTTCCCAGTTACCAGTTCGGGAATGCCATGCACAACCATGGAGGCAGAAGGAATGAGCTCTGGCGACTCCCTCGCCATTTGTCTTTCCTTCCACGGCCTGTCTGGCTTAACGCGTATGTTACAGGCCCTCCCTATAGAAAGGACTTGAGAAGCCAGTAACACTTTTTCAACATCCTCAGTAGAGCCCAATGTTACCCTCAGTGGGGATGGTTTGCCTTCAGGTGCAGCAGTGCCCCTATACAATCTGCATAGATTTACTGGTTGGATGTCCAAACCCAGTGTGCTGCACAAGATGGACCACTGTTCCTGATCAAATAGGGCCCTATCTTTCAGCAGACTACTGCTACAGTCTGGTACATTAAAGAGGATTACACAATTTGATCTACTAACCGTGGGCTTGGGCTCGGTCCTCGCACATTTGTGATTTCCTTTAAGACCGTTTTGGTTCGTCTGGTGCGACTGGGTATTTTTTGTGTCTCAGTGCTGTGGCCAATATTACTGGCAGACGAGAGGGGTCTTTTTCCAACGACGGAAACCCGTGGTTCTCCAGCCTCTGTGTCTGGAGCGGTTATGTCAAGAGTTACAAGTTTAACCAGTGAGGATTTTGGTATCCCCGGTTTACGCGCATTTGTACTAATTTCCGGATTGGTGCTGGTCGAACATTTCATATTTTTCCCCGCTACTTCTGCGCCATCTTTAGTTTTCAAAGGACTACGCGAGGCTACATCAGGACGGCAACTCGGGCATATGTACCAGAACCATTGGCATGGGTTTTTACGCATAAAGTCATAATATGCTTTTGGTACCCCATTGTCGCATCTGCAATGCACCCATCGCTTGCAAAAGTTACATTCGAAAGCAGAGTCTGCTTGTTCGACAACAGAAGCGCAGACCTTGCAGTCGTCTGCCTTCTTGGGGAGCGTTCTTGTCGTCTTGCGACGTCGTGAACGTTTCTTTTTGGCCTTCCTATTTGTTTCATGGTCTACCATGGGGATTATTTAATTTAAGGAAGGCCAAAAAGAAACGTTCACGACGTCGCAAGACGACAAGAACGCTCCCCAAGAAGGCAGACGACTGCAAGGTCTGCGCTTCTGTTGTCGAACAAGCAGACTCTGCTTTCGAATGTAACTTTTGCAAGCGATGGGTGCATTGCAGATGCGACAATGGGGTACCAAAAGCATATTATGACTTTATGCGTAAAAACCCATGCCAATGGTTCTGGTACATATGCCCGAGTTGCCGTCCTGATGTAGCCTCGCGTAGTCCTTTGAAAACTAAAGATGGCGCAGAAGTAGCGGGGAAAAAT